ATCAAGCAGGCTTGACCAAAATATGGCAAATACTGCCTGTTGTTAAGAATTATAGTCACTGTATTTGCCTTACTTACATTTGCATTTCAAAATTCCTTTTGGCAAAATAGTACAAATTTGCAAAACTTTGACCATTTTTGGAATATTTTTTCCTGCTTTGATACATTCATGTTTCCATTATGTTATTTAATTATCTTCAAAGCTGCTTTTAAAAATTAATGCTTTAAATTTTAAAAATTAATGCTCTAATTTAAAGAAATGTTCAATGGTCTGTGCAAGGTGTTGAAGGTGTTCTTACCCACAAGAGGGGGTTAGAACTAGATGATCTTCAAGGTACCCTTCCAACCCAAACCATTCTATGATTCTGTGAAGTGTTCCCTACCTGTGTCACTGCATTGGTATAATTTTTAGGTGGCTCTTGCTTGTAGTATTTGCCATTGGTTAGGCTGTGGTTAGTTAGTGCATTGATTAAAAAAATATAACACAGTCAATATTGATTATTGGCCATATGTTAGAGACTGGGCAGTCATCAAAGAACCAGATGCTGTGGCTTGATGATGCAGATTCTAACTGCTGTGGGGTATGAATAGCATTTTTTTATTGTACCATAAATCTGTGGAACTCTTAAGTGACAAATACCTTGCTTTTGGAGATGAGAATGGAGTTATGCTAAAAGCAATGAATACAGTTTTACAGAAGAATCTGGCTAGCCCTCTTCAGGTGATAACTTTCAACACTTGCAGATTACTTGCTGGCTTCAAATAGGTACCTAGTCCCAAAGCTGGGAATTGTACCAGGGTGTTTCAGCATGTTTGAATTCAGAGAGGCTTGATGATGCTGATTATCACAGTTTTCTGGCCTAAATACTGTCACTGCTGTAAATAAATAGAAGGTTTTGAAGGGCAGTCAGATTTTACAACATGATGAAATACTATTACAAAGTGCAATCTTGTTTCTGCAATTCCTGTCTAAATGCACCCACATACATGGGTATATAGAGCTCTCCAAAAGAGAAAAGTGTAACAAAAGTTGTTCAGCAGTACTGAAGGGTTTTGCTCCCTCTAGGTGTGAAGTCTGTTTACACAACTGCTTTATCTGTGAACATGACAGCAAGAACAAGTGCTATGGCTGTGACCGTGTCAGATCAAACTTGTATGGATTGGTGGGTCCACTCATTGTACTGAGAAAGATAGATAAACTGAGAACTGGCAGCTTGCCCTTTTTGATGTAAATCAATTGTGGTATTTGAAGGAGAGGAGAGAAAGAAAGAAGTTGTTCCCTTGAAATTTAGGTTTCAGGGAAGTCTAAACTTACCTATATTGAAAGCACCATGATACAACTGGAGACTGTAAAGCTGTACTGCCAGCCTTAGTGGTCCACACAGACTTTACAGCTAACCTCTTAACTTCAAGACCAGAAAGTATAGGCAACTATACTGTAACCATACTCAGAAGGAACGTGTGCAATAACTTGTGTAGGTATAAACCCAGTGATTTGGAAGTAGCTGGAGGAAGAAGAGCCCTGACAGGGGCAGTTTACAAACATGAATTATAAGATTATTGTAGTCCCGCTGATAAGCTTCCAATCTGGTTAAGTCAGATACCCAGCATCATACTAGGTTGTAGACTGTGTTTTTATTTGAGACTTGGTCTCAGGGAGGCAGTAGAATAGGATGTAAAGCTCTGTATCATCTGTTCTGGCATCACTTCCACTGAAATACCACTTCTGTGGTATTCGCATAACAATTTTTATCATATTTATCTTTTCTCTATATGTGTTTTGATTAGATAAGCAGTAATAATTATTTCAGCCCTTCTCCAAATTAACTACATTCTTGTTTAATACAAGCATCTAAACCACCGGTGGTTAGTGGTATTAAAGTTGGCAAAAAGGAAAAGAATTGTAGCTGCTGGATCTTGTGTTTTCTGTGGCTATATAACCAAAATTATTTTAAAAAGAAGTCTTGCATTGATGCTAAATTTACAGACTGAAGAAAATTGCCATGACACCATCTTGCTACCAATTTCTATTCTCAGACCATTTTGTCAAGCATATCCTCCTCCTGTTTCCTGATTTGTGTTCCATTTTTTATTTTTATTTTTTTTTAACCTCCTCCCCACAGTGCATCCCAAATTAAAAACCATTTAGGTTAACTTCTTTCAGGAAAATAATTACAGTAGATATTGCACATTAATATCTTTTAAAAAAATAAACAAAACAAAGCCAAAACTAACTCAGTTGCAACTTTCAGAATTTTACTCCCATGTCTTATTTTTAAGTTATCAGATTTCATGTAATAACATTGCTAACCCTTCTGTAACGGAAGACTTCTGGACTCCTAGAAAGAAATGTTAGGGTTTTGTGGTTTTGGTTTGTTTGGTGTTGGGGTTTTTATAACTTTAAAAATGAGGAAATCACAGAGGAATTAAGGAGCTGAAGGGGTAAGTGTGCAAATATGAAGCTTGGCTTCCCATTTTCAACAAAACTTCAGGAACTTTAATTTTTTTTAAATTACTTCCTTATGTGGTTTTGGTCAGTGATTTGTGTTACACAGGAGGTGTTGGCAGTAGAAATAGCTCTGGGCAGATGTGATTACCTGCCAGCAACAGAGGAGAGTGGGAATGCTGTAAGGAAATCCAGCTCTGTAACTGTAGCTGCACTAAGTGGTAATTGGCATTCCATGTGCTTAGGTATGTTGTATGTAAATATTGCTCATTCAGGTGAGCAGCCATCAAGTCTGCTTCTTTTAAGGCGGAGTTTAAACAGCAGCTCAAATTCTGGAATTCAGTGGACACAGTGAACAGTGAGACATGTAACTTCTTTTACTAGGGAAGCTGTTTGAAAGAATTCTCTGACAAATTCTTAATCATATACTGTATACCTTATGTCAAGATCCCTAATTCTGACTTATTTCAGCTAATTTATTGAAGACACAAACAGTGTCACTTCATATTTTTGGGAAATGCCTCTCACTTGTTTCTGCAAAGCTGAGGGTTATATCAGAATGATGTTATAAAAAGAAGTTGAACTCTTTAGCAGAAGTGAGTTTGCTCACTTTGAGTGATGTAGTTTATCATCATTAAGAGTGGTAGGGACTCTGAAGAATGAAGTCATGAAATAAACAAATCTGTGGATATCTTGTATTTTTGAGTGGAGTAATTGAAAAAAGGTTACAGCCATTGCTGCTTACTCTTCAGATCAGTGGTGAGGGCAGGTTCCCAGCCATCTAAGCTGTGTACCAGTGTTCAGGTGCTCAGGCTTGTGGGTTTATGAAAATAGACCTATGGAAAAAATTTTGGACATAATATTTTAAAATAGAGTTTGAAAAAATAATAGAGTAAAAAAATAAGTTCCTAGTAAATCTTCATAGCATTCAAGTATAATTCAAATGCAAGAATAGAAGAAAACCAAGATTTATCTGTATGTTTTGCATTTTTCCTACTTCTCCTACTTGTGTACATCTAAATGCACAGATATTTAGATGGCACAAAAGGAAGCTTGATTATGACTTTCATTTGTAAAACTTGGTTACTGTCAGTGCAGTGTTGCTGTGCTGTGGTAAGGACAGGCTTATTCATATCTACATGGAAAAGGTATATAAATTACTTAAAGGTATGAACTAAACGTTTTAAACTGTACTTTTCATGTGATTTTTAAAATTAATTCTTAAAATGCATTGTGTTCCATAGTATGTTCATACAACTAATACATTGTATGCAGTTATATACTGGGAGTGAATTTGCTTTAAGAAATTGAAAAAATCAGAAATAGACAAAAATTGCTAATTGGTAATAGAGATCTTATTCAGTTTTAGTCTTTGCATTTGGGCAAAAATGGTTTTCAGTGGGAACTATGGCTGCCTGAATCTCTTTGTTTGCTTTGAAGTATTTAATGAAATTATTCGTTTTTTAGGACTGGTCATACACTTAAGTTAGCAAGTATGTATGTTTAGATGGAAAACAGTTTTCCACTGGGAAACCAGGAACAAAAGCTGACCAAATCATTGAACATTGCTGTGTTGATGACTCTGTTAGTTTAAGATGCTGCTTTGCCTAAAATACAAGTCAGTTCAAAGTGGTTTTATTTTAAGGTGGTGTAAATAGAGACAGTTGTGTTGTCTGCAATAGTCAGATTGAGTACAGAGAAAGCTACTAGTAAGTCTCAAACATAATCCAAATTTACTGCCTCTTTCTTGATGTGTACGTGATATAAAAATATCCTTGTATTCCTCTGGTATAGTACTAGATATAATAGATGCCTTCTGCCGGGAAACCCTGGAGTTTTTCGTCTCTGCCACAGTTCTGTTGCATAATGCATATATGAATTCTGTTGCATATGCATTATGAATATATTTGCTTGCATAGGCTTTGATCCTTTGACTTGTTGGTCTTTTGTCTGGTTCTGTGGATCTGCTGTATATCAGATATGCTGTTTACATTTTTTTTACCAATGCTTGAATAGCAACATCAGAAATACTTCTGTAAACCATCAGTAATAATCTGAACTAAATATATACTGAAAATAGCATTCCAGAATGTTTTCTTCACATAAGAAAGTGGAATAGTTTAACTTAGTAGAGCAAAATAAACGATGGAATGTCACTTTTCTGTATTTGACACTAAATTTGATCTCTTCCAAAGACACAGAAATACCCACTAAATAGCTTTATTCTTGGTGTGTATTTGAGCGGTCTTTGGGACTTACAGGGGATTTTTTTATTTGTATATCGATATGCATCCTTTTAAGGGAGTGGAATTACGTATCTTAACAGAATTGCTGGTGGTGTGTTGCTGGGCCTGACAGCTTCCAAAAGTGCATAAGGACTTAAGTATTTTTTTGCCTTTCTCATCTGCACAGTCTCTGCACAAGTCAAAGGATGTATACTTTTACAGTAACAACTCTTATTATGGCTAAGTGTATATGAGGTTAGCATTTATGAAATAATGTTTTGTTATTGATTTAATCAAATTTTCTTAAAGAAGTATGTTGGTTTTTTTAAGGTGAGATTACAGTGCAAACTGGAGATCTGTTGCCATGTAAGATTTGTGGAAGAACTTTCTTTCCAGCAGCGCTGGTAAGTGGTGTGAGCTTTTAGATTTGCTTTTAGATTTGATAAGTTGATAAGCAAGTTAAGCAGTGCTCAATATAGCTAAATAAAATAGATCTAGGTGCTTTGTTTTGGTAGGGGTTTTGGTTTTATTTTTTTTCCCTCCCCCAAGTAATTACTGATTCCAGTTGTCTCAGGTTTGAAGCTCCTTAGAAGGGATCTAATTTTATTTTAAGATCCCATGATTTTCTGAAATACATGCCTCTAAAAGCATCTTTTCTAGGTTTACATGATCAATCCTTGTCTTCTGCAGTTTTAAGTCTCAGCTAGTAAGTGTTTTGTTAGCCATCTCCAAAACTCACTTCTCCTTTGTTAATAGAAATCGGTCTCTCATTAAATGTGAATATGAATTTCAGACACCTGTGATATGTTTTGCCACTCAATGCAAAAGCTGCCTACCTGTCATCATTTTTTTATGTGCAAGGAGCAAATACAGACGCCTTCTGCTTTTCTTCTTCATTACCACCCATGTTTTTGTGACTGTATACACATGCGTGAATTCCTGTAGTTCTGTTTTAAAGGCAGCAGCTGACATAAATGTTTAAGTGAAAACAGCCTGAGCTTATTTATCAGGAGTTTGGGCTTTTTTAGCTAATTTTTATATCAAGAAAGAGGGAAATAATGTGTTAATAACTTCTATTTTTAAAAGTAAGTTCTGTATTCTTTTAATTTGCTTCTGCTTATAGAAAAAACATGGACCCATTTGCCAAAAAACTTCTGCCAAGAAAAGGAAGACATTCGATTCCAGCCGACAGAGAGCAGAAGGAACTGACATTCCCACAGTAAAACCTCTTAAGCCACGGGTATGTTATAATTTACTCTGATTTTGAGCATTTTAGGCTTACTATATATGCACTTTAATAAAACTTATTTCTGCTGGAAATTTGTGTTAATTAGACCAACTAAAATTTGGACGAAATCTATGATGTTATGTACTAAAATAAGGTGCATACTTAGCTTCAAGTAAAAGCTTCAGATATACAGAACTTTCTTTTTTGCTTCTTAGCCAGAACCACCCAAAAAACCTTCTAACTGGAGACGAAAGCATGAGGAATTTATAGCAACTATACGAGCAGCCAAAGGACTGAATCTTAAAGACGGTGGAAAACTCCCTCCACCACCTCCACCATCATATGACCCTGGTATGTAAAACAGTCAAGTTCCTTAGAGACTTTGAGTTAATATGTAGAAATTTGAATTGAAAAGGAATTTGTTGGACAATACAGAATACACAAGTTCCTGAAGATGGCTTATTACCCCGGTGCAGATGCTGGGTTGTTACTTTGTGTCTGGTTGGCTCACATTCTGTGTAGCTTTGTTTTTAATGTGTTGAAAGATAGCTGGGGCCAACTTGAAGCCTGCTACTGCCTTGTAAACCATAGGCTGGACAAGTTGTTTTAATGCCCTTTTTGTGCCCACAACAGTGGAACTGCTCAGAAATAGCAAGCTGCCTTTTTGATTGGCTGAGACCCACAACATATTTACGTTGTGGGAATGCACTTCTGTGTTTTTCAAATGTAACCTCTCCCATTTCTTGCTGAATTCATATTTATTTTCATGTATTTCAGTGTATGCCTTAATGCTTCATGTAGTTTTGTTTTAGGTATGTGAGATGTGTGGAGTTTGTATTATTAGCACGACGTTTGGTACCTTCAAACTGAGGCTGGATAAAGTGTTCAAGCAGTCTGATGTGAATGAGAAGGAAATACACTTTTCATTTAACTTCTGGGATATGGTCATAGATTGAAGAATATATTTCTTCCTCTTGTCCTAAGAGCTAAACCATTTGATTAGCTCAGTGGCTTTTTTTCAGAAAGATTGGGAAAAAACATGTGTTTGCTTCTGCCTGTCTATGGTCAAGTGAGGATGTGAAGTGTTTCCTACCCTGTTTCTTTACAGAAGATGTATTAGTCCAGTATTAGGATTGTAATTATGCATTCACTCTAAGAGGCCATATTATGCAGCATTCTGTACTCACAATCTTGAAAAGCCATATAGCTAATTTTAAAAAGTAAAACCATCTTAAAGCCAGTAGCAAATGCTGTGGATAAGAATCACAAGGATTGATCATGAAAAGAATAATTAATAATCTATATAGCATATCTATAATCTACCTAGTTGTAGTTGGTTTTAGTCTCCTGGCTTCCTCCTGCTGCAGTGGGTAGGACTTAGGAAGAGGAAAACAGGAATGAAGAGACCATGCACAAAATGATCAGTGGATACTCTTCTCACAAATAGAGCGGGAGCAGCTACTTACGCTCCTTTTCCACTTTTCATGTAGGACTGTGAACGTACCATGAGTGTATCCTCTCCTACTCAGCTCTGTCTTGGGCATGCTTGTTCCTAACAAACAGCGAGTCATTTTCCTTTTAATGGAAAGAGTCTCATATTTATATTTTCTACTTAAATGCTCTGAGCTGGCAAATGACCAGTATTGCTGTTTCTTCCATCTCCTCTTCCACTATTTCTGAGGAAGTGCAGAATAGCCTCAGGTTAAGAAGGACTTTAAATCACCCTGAACTTGACTGCGTAGGTGCACTGCCCTCTTATTTTGATTAGTTTTTGTTTTATAAAGCTTACATTGAATCCTAGAAGTTCTTCTGGACGGTATGAACAGTACTTTCAGATAGGCAAGTGTTTGACTGGTAGTATGTGTTTTACAGAAGGATGAAGATACAATTTCTGATTCTTAATGGTATACATTCATCCTCTCAAATACATCTGTGGGCTTTGAAAGTTTTCTGTGGGAAGTGAACTCTGCACCAGCTGAAATGGCCTATTATCTAGGGGCTTTCACAGCTGCTTTATTTTTTTTTTTTTTTTTTTTTACTTTCTTTGGAATAATTTTGGTTTGACAACATGGTTATTGCATTTTTTTTTTCTGATTTTTTGTCTCTTAAGGTGTAGTTGATGTTCAAGTGTTCTCATGGTAGCAGAGCATATGTAAAATAAATAAAAAGTTGTTACCCATGAGATTCCCATGCTGTCACTTCTCTGTGTTTTTCCTCTTTCCTTAGCTCACACTTCTTGGGTCACAGTTCATGGTTTAGTGGCCATTACATAATTCAGCTTACTCAAAACTGTTTATAAATATTCAAAGAGACAACTATTTAAGCCAAATCTACTGCATTTGGACTAGTAACATGTAATCCAAAACTTATTTTAGATTTTGTAATACTTATTGTAATTTTGGAGGCAGTGACTGTTGAATTTCATCTCATTTTCTTCAATACATTTCTAATATGACCTAGAAACACACTAATTTATCCTGCTTTCCTAGTGTCAGGCTTTTTTTAAGTTGATGCTTACATGGTTTTGAATGCTCTAATCTGGGGCATACAGCATTAATATCGCTAGCAAGTGAAATACCCAGTTGTCTGAAACTGCAGTCCAAACATACAATTTTCCAAGGGCACTGTATTTTAAGGTGTGTATTTCCAGCATACAGATGATGTATCTTTTAATATTTTAAGCATTTATATAGCACTTTCTGTTTTTTCCCCGATGAGAATAATATTCCCTGTATGTAATACTGTTTGCAATGTGAGTAAATTAATCTTGCAAAAGTAAGATGGCCAGCGGTTACTTGATAGCTCCTTATTTTCGCTGCTTTTCTTTTGATTCTTTTTATTTGTTAAATTTCTGATTTTTTTTTTAATAATGATCACTTCTAGTATTGCAGTTAGAATTTTCAGTTCATTCAAAATTGCCAGAGGAAATAGATTTGTTGTCTTTTGTAGCTTGTGTGGGAAAGGTTTTAATGTATCGCCGTATGTTGAACAAACTGAACAGTTAGTGATTTTTTTAAAATTTTTGATTGTTTCTTTGTTTAGCTACTTCTCCACTTCCCTCCAGCTGATCTCTCTCTGCCATGCCCTTGTACTTCTTTGGCTACCTTCTCTGCAAGAATAGCATCTTTTAAAGTTTCTGATTTTTGCTTAGTTTATTTCTAATCCTCAGCTACTGTTACCCATCAAATGAGAATATGCTTTGACCTAGCAATCTGTATTTTATTTTCAGATTCAAGAAGCCATAATTTCCCCTGGAGGAGAGCCTGGTCTTAAAGACTTTAAAACACTCTCATTTTTAAAACAGATTATTAATGTTAGATATTTATGTTTTTTAAGATTACATTCAGTGTCCATACTGTCAGAGGAGATTTAATGAAAATGCAGCTGACAGACACATCAATTTCTGTAAGGAGCAAGCTGCACGTATTACTAATAAGGGGAAATTGGCAGCTGATACCAAAGGGAAGCTTCCTACTCGAACACAGGTGAGCTGTAACACTTCTGTTAACCTGTAACTTGCATTCAGTGTCAAGTCAAGCTTGTTAAATAGTGTGTGGCTTTTAAAAGAAGTTAACTATTTTATTATATGTGCAATTTTATTACTTGCACTGACTGAAATTAATACTAGGCATGGACAAGGCTTTTGCTTTCTTAAACTGCAGAGATCCATTAGTGAAATGGCAGTAGCTGCAAAATCAAAACCAGTCATAAATGTAATGTAGAAATGTGCAAATGACATGTAAAGATAGCAGGAGGAAATAGAGATGCAGTTTTTGTAAAGGAAATTGAATTTCTGTTGTGCTGGTTTCTAAATCCAATTAGAGACTTACTTAAGGGGCAAACAGGTACCTGACTACAGGACAACTGACAGCAGAATTGTGGCTAATTAGAGGCTTGAGCGGGATTCAGGGGTATTACACAGTATTTTGAGTCAGTGCAGGGACTGGTCCAGACAATACAGATGAAAGTAAGATTTGGATTTGAAAGACAAAAATAATTCTGCCTTTGAGTATTCTCTTTTAAATTATTTGGTAATGAGGCGATACTTTTAATCTTAACTTTAGCTTCATTCCAGCTATGGAAAGAATTGATAAAAGCTGTAGAAAAAAAATGTAGAAAGACATACAGTTGAACACCAAAGCTACTAGGTTAGAGAATGTTTCCTGCTAGTATCATCTGTAAGTGTTAGAAAACAGACTATCAGAAACCACTTGCATGTTCCCATACCAGAAACAGGTTACCTAGTAAGAAATCATTGTCTGTTCTCCCACAGTACCTGAAGGAACTACCTGTTGTGTTATAGAGATGGCTTCATTTAATTGCTTAAATTCCTAGGTTGTATTTTGTTACAGTACAAACCTGCTCCAGTTAAGAAGATGCCTTCTGTAGGATCAACACCATCACCATCATCACGCTTACCACAGCCAAGTGGTGTCAGCAAAACTGTTGTAGGTATGAAATGAATGTTATGAATTATTCCATGTCTTTTCTAAATAACAGGTCTCAAACTATGCATCATTCTGCAAACTATGTTTATTTGATATAGTGGTTTGCAAAATCTTGTTTAAAATAAATTTGGAAAGGGCACTCTAATTGCCATCTATCTTGACGATTTAGGATTCTGGTTTACATGTCAGGCCAGTTCTTTTTTTTTTTTTCCTGAATTGAATATGAAAAAATTATTTGGTGTAGTAATGCTTGATTATATCGAATACTGATCTCTCACCTGAAATTTATCTAATGCTTAATTCTAATTTGTCTGCTGAATATGATCATAAATTGGTGAAAATATATAGTCAGGGCATGTATATTGTAATTATGAAACAGTGCTCTAATTTGGGTTTCAGATATCAATATCAAACATCTTCTGTCTGTACATACTTCAACTTTTTTTTCCCTTTTTTTCTGAGCAAAGAAATTGAGATACAGTATGTTTTCTTAGAATAAAACACTATGTGTCAATTATATGTTTTCTATACATTTTTTAAATATATTGTCTTTTTGTATTATCTTGATACTGGCTCATATCTTTATTTCTAAAACTTTTTTTGAATTTTGCAATTTTTTTTTAATAAATTGTATCATTTCAGCAGCAAAATTTACATTTTCTTATATTTTCATACTTGCTTTTCAACTGCAAGGTGCCTCTTCAGGTAAAGCACTGTCTTCGTCTGGATCCAGTGGGAGCAAAATTCAGACATTATCACCAGCTCATAAAAACTCTCTGGGAACAGTGAACCCACAAACAGGGTGAGTTCAATCTAATGTTGTCATTTGTGCTTTATTTCATATTTATGTTATTCTAGTTCTAGAAGTCTCTGTGGTTTGTTTCACTTGCTTTTATTTTTTTTTCCTATGAGCTTCAGAGATACAGTGTTTTGTATTTATCCTTTATCTGTAAGTATAGCTAATGTTAACAAACATTGGAGAAGGAAGAGTTTTTATCAAGTTGATTTAACAACAAAGGAGGTGAAGAGATGAAAATAAAATATATCAAAAGTTACAGAATAGGCAGAATGGTTGGAGCAATTAAATTTTTCTTGGTAAAAGCGAAGGGTCTTAAAAACAGAAAACATTAGGCATCATTTCCTGCACTTCACAGAAATGGAAGAAAGAGGCTTCTGCCTACAAGGCTATTGTGACAGGATCTTCTCTCTTAGCACAAAAGGATGGAGGCTTTCTCTCTTGCTTTTCTTGTCTTAAGAGGCAACAAATGAATAAGCACAAATAAGACAAAACCAGCGCATTTAACAACAGCAAGGACTGCTTAATGAAGATTATTAGAGTTCAGTGTAAGTGCTGGTGTGATCAAGGCTGTGAACTGGAAGGGTAGACATTTCACAGAATCTCAGAGAAATCTGTGGAAAGGATTGAAGAAAAGTAGTGCAATTCTGCAGAAGTTGGAGGAGCACCAAGGAGCATTGAGAACACAAAAGATAAAAGGAAGTGATTGCAATTATAACATTGGTGATTGAAAAATATTTATTCCTATAAAAATTAGTATCTGATTGGTGAAGACAGTATAATGTGAAAACAAAAAAACAATGTCTTAAGTTCATGAGGAAGAAAAGGATATTCTGAAAACTTACGGTGTTGGATAGCAATTACATAGAACTAGAGATTTTTAGTTTATCACTCTTAAATTTTGCAGGTTTTGTATGAATATGAATTATAGCTCTGTCATGCTTCACTCCTAATGCCCCCGTAGCATCAGGATTCAATTCTGTCTCTCCTTGCTCTGTCTACTCATGATAACTGTTTCAGACACAGGTCACATGTGGAGTCCGTGAGGTTGACAGATGTCTTTCTTTTTTCATTTCACCCCTCTCCTGGTGACTCTTTGGTCAGCTTCACTACCATTTGTAGGCATCTATGCTGTGACTGTTTGAAAATCACAGCCCCTTGTTCACTGATTTTATTTATTTATCCATTTTTAGGAGTTGAATTAACACCTACTTATGAGTAGCAAACAAGCAGGTCTCCAAGGTAAAAAAGTTAGCTGAGATAATTTGAAGGCATGTTTCTGAGTCCAGTAGTGTAACTCAGATATCTGGGAAAGGTTTTTCCTTGTTGGAGGTTCCTAACTGAAGTCTGTGTTTGTCTCTGAGGATGCAGCAATTTTGATTTTCACTTGTTAACAAAGTAGTTCTATTTAATTTTACCTGTCAGTTGCTGTTGCAATAATCATATGAAATCTTGTAGAAAATAAACCCCTTGTGTTCCAGCTATTTCTCAGAAATCAGAGGGGCTGGGTGCAGCTTGGCTTAATTTTTGTTTATAACCACTATGGCTGGTTATGTTCAATAAGAACATTTACAATTCCAGTTTCACAAATAATGTAGTTTATTGAAGGAGCAGATCATTGACTCTTAGATTGCAGGTGATAAATGCAGTAGATCTACAAAATGTAAGTGTACAGTGCTATGTATAACTGTTCCCAGCTCTACTCTTGGTGGAGCTGGAGGCGTAAATCTTATCAAAGAGTCATCCCTGCTTTGGGGAAGGGAGAGAGGAGCAAGCCCGTTATCTATGAAGTAAGGTCATGTTCTCATACTCCAAAAATGGAGGATTTCAAATACCAATTTTTGACTTTTTGGAAAAGTGGAGGTATGACTATAGTCAAGTATAATTGCTTACCAGTTGCTGTGGTCCTAGTTGGTGAAGAAGCAGCTTATTTTTTTCTCATTTTCATATTGGTGGTTGCTTTTTTCAATATATTAAATATATTTGGATACCTCTGGCTGAATTGGTTGTAACAAAGGCAGCACAGATCCCTAATAATTCAGTATTGTCCTTCACCCAGGTGAGGGAGCAGTGAAGTCCACCTGACATGACTCCTGTCAGTATGTTACAACCTCACATCATTATCTTCTCAAAGGAACAGATTTGTAACAGAGGCTGGTTGTGCATGGATAAGGTGGAGTGAGGCTGGTACTGAGGCCTGGGTGTACTCCTGTGCTGAGAGTGAGACACCACTGAGACACCATTGGGCTGTGAGACCTCTGCCTCACCCCAGGGATCATTCAGTTGTTAAGCCTTGCTCCAGCCTAGTGCAGGATAAGCAAGTGGCTTAGCTCACATTTTTGCTCAAACAGCCTCATGAATTCTCCACTGTCATGGGGTGGCTTTACCCTTAAGGTAGTTTTGAGAGCTAAGGAAGTTGAGGCTGCTGGTGGCTGATGGGAGTCCTTTCTCCTGACCAATTATCAAGCACTTCTAAGAATTGACAGCAGTTCTGACCATTAAAAAGTGAATTCAACTTGTGAATACCCCCTTAAGAAGTACAGTCAGAGCTGTCTTGTGCTCTTTGGTTTCCGGCTTCTGAGAAGGTAGCAAGGCTCAGTGGTAGCCTCCTCCACCCTCCCCCCCCCCCC